ACTCCTATCACTTAATTATATCCATCAACTGAGCTGTTGCTATAAAAGCAAACACCCTGACATGATTTTCCAGCTGTGTAGCTTTGTATTGTCTGTGAAACCTTCAGTTGAGATGGACAAAATGGAGACAGTGTGTGTGTTTTAGAGGAATATTCCACTCAGTGCAGAGGCTCTGATATTGATCAGGTCTGTGTGCTTACGGTGAAGGAAATGGTGTGGGAGTTTTCCCCATGGGTTGCAAAGCAAGGTCTTTCTGGCTCTTTTTCAGCCTTTATATTTTTTTTCTCTCGCATAGCGTATTAATACGGAGACTAGACAGTATAACATTTAATAAAAACTAATTTACTCATTGTGAAATTTGTATGAAATGCAAAATGTAAAGAAAAGACAAAATAGAAAATGCACCCTTGCAAATCGCCTGTCTTAATTTCAAGAATTATTTTGTTTCCAGCTGATTTGTGTGGAGGCAGAAGGAAACCCTCACAAACCGATCTGAGAGTAGGCTACCCCTCTATAGTGTCTTTCAGAGCACAGCAGTTAATTAGTCTAATCAGTCATATTTGATTCTACTGACTGGCCATTTGCTGACGCATCAGTGGTAAGCCTTTACTGTTTGCTAGATAAGTGCTGATTAGATTACCCACCCAGGTCATGTCAGAGAGTGAAAACGGTATAATGCAGCATTGAATAGCTTTACTTCTGCACAGAGATCAATTAACATGGCTGTGCAGAGTCAGAGATGAGACGGATAAAACGGAGGATCAACAGTCGACCATTCATTATTGCTCTGACTGTGCTGCTGAAAGGATGAGCTGAACTCAAGACAAGCAGCTGCCTGTAGAAGACAAAGGATGCATGAGCTTTGTTTGGAGATGTTTCCTGCTGCTTCAAACAAAAGCTGTGGCAAGGACTGCTGTTTGACCATTATTGACCTGAGATAGTGAATGTTGTTTTGCAGTCTAAATTGTTTAAAAGGTTGGCAGTGGAAGGTTTAAACCGTTTGAGTAAAAAGATACATCATACTGTAGCATATATTGGACAGGAAACTTGGAGGCACTGCTCAGCCTGTGGTTGTGGTACTGCACATGTTGTCCCAATAAGAGTTTTCCCCATTTACAGAGGGATTTACAGGATATATCTGTTATTTGATTTGCTTATTTACCTTATTTATCACGTGTTAATGTTTTTGAAAAATTCTATCAGCATTTGTTATATTTAATTTCATAGACGTGATACTGTTTGTTGTGGCGAATTTCTCTGGTGTCTCAAACAGCTTGTAGTTTGATGAAGGAGTCCTATAAAAGATTAAACGTCACATCTCACATCTTGGGTAATTCACAGAAGTTTTTGGTTTTGTAGAACTAATACTGAAATGAAAAACTGCTCGAGAGGGACTACAGAAAATTAACTTAACATGTAACGCTAACTTGTGGCCCACTCTCATTACAGAGTGCTCCATTTCTATATTTACCACTTGACTACCATGACCTACCTACCATTGGCCGCAGTTGGGCTAAAGGAACTCTGAATAATTCAGTTGTTGTAGTTGGTGGATCCCTGCGTAGCTGCTGGTGGTGTTGGTGGTTTTCAGAGGTCATGTGGTCCTGACAGCTGGTGAAGCAGAGATTAGGGATGGGCTTGGTGGGACAGAGTATGGTGGTGGGCACCTGGAGTCTGGAAGGAGCCAGTTTTTCAAAAAACCCCACCAGCCTGCCTCCCATAGACACACAAATAGATCTAGAAACACTAACTCTGATATGCAATATGACAGGGCTTTTGATAGTATGTAAGTTGAATGTCAAATTGTCCTTCTCCTAACTTCTGTTGGCAGGTGGGTCTGGTTGACGCAGTTCTGGTTGACCTTTTCAAATTGAGAGAGGATGCTTCTTAACCTATATACAAATGTGCCCAAGCTGGCTTGCCCTTTCCTTACTGCAGCCATGTTTCAAAGGGATTGACATTTTACATGCATGCAAAGTAGAACAACATTTCTATCAACTGTAGACAGATGTCCGACCAAATTTCACTGAAAGTTACTGTAACTATTAACCCATGATAGGCATGCCATGTGAAAACAAATGACTGAATCAGAAGGTTGTGCACATGCAGGCCAGGTTTAGGTGATTGTTTAAGTGTCTGTGGGTCATTTGATGCACACTGTACATCAATTATTTGGGGGCTTAATGATGCAAAGAGGACTGGTCAAAGATCTGCACTGTAACTGTACAGATAATGTGGATCTTAAGTGATCCCTGCAGGGAATAGGATTAGTAGGATTGTTTAGAAGGATTCAATGTTTTTGCTAAGGACTCTTAAGGAGGATGGGTGCTTTCTGAAACATAGGGTTACACTCAGGTTTTTTCTCAGAGCACTAAGTGACCCTGCTTCTAAATGTTTGACACATTTATTTGTTTCTGAAAGATTTAGAAGCCATACAAACATATATACGTTTAGATTTTGGATGTATCTAGCAATTGACGTACCAACAATCTTGGTTCAAGAGCAATGCTTCTGTAAGTAGCTGGCAAAGCTACTGCACAGATTGGAATAGTTTTGGGGGTTTTTTTGCTGTGGAAGCCAGATAGCCAGAGGCATCTAACCGACACTGTCTATTTGGCTTCTGTTTCAGTCTCACTTTTGAGAGAGAGAGGGAGAGCAAGAAACTATGGATTTGAAAGCCAACAATAAACACATTTTTAAACACAAAAATCAAGATTTACAGTCATGCTTAATGTTTAAATGCACGCAAAATATTTAATTTTGAAGTATTTATGTTGAATCACCTAGTGAGTGGACAGATTCAGACAAACTAATTCTGCTTGTCAGAAACCTGCAGAGAGTCTTCATTTCCAACAGAGATTCTGTTAAGAGAGATTAAGGTAGCAGTCTGTTGGATAAACACTTTATCCCTTTAATCAGATCTGTTCCTAAAGCTATTAAAACATGGACTAGCCTCTACCCTCCCACCCCAGTCCAGCCCATTTCCATCTCCTCTCCACCAACCGCTGGCCTTAAGGGAAAAAAAGAGCACTTCTTAATGCTTCCATCTTATGATTAACTGTCAGGTGCCCTTGTTGCCACACAACAGTTTAACCTAATGAAAATAGCATGTATCTAATCTCTTGATAATGAACACAGTAGAAAACCCAAGTTTTCAGCCTGTAAATTAGCCCTGGCTGAAAAGCCAATTAGATTTTGATCCCCCTGGAGTCAAAGCACCATCTCCGTACATCAGCAGGGATCTGCCAGGCCTGTATCCAGGGAATCTTGTGGGACACAGAGAGAGGGTACAGCTGTTGGATGCCTCGCCAGCGAGTCACCACCACACACTTTTAGCTTGTCTAGCAGGACAGAGAATCAACATGGCAGCTGCTGGGGTGGGGTGTTCCCAAATTATCTGCAGCGCCATAGTTTGGATGTGTATCACAAAGGAAACCATGATGCATCTTGGCTATCCTGGCAAATGTCCCAACACAGGGTAATCTTTCACGCCATGGACCTCTCAGAGAGTCTTGAGTCAGTGAGAATATTGTGTTTTTAGAAGAATAACCACAAAATTAGCCCTGTGAACAAAGATGGAGTGAGTCATCTGTAGTTCAGTGAGTTCATATGTTCATGTATCCAGTAATTCAAGTGAGAAAGAACTAATTTCAAGTGGTGTTGAAAGGCAAATTGGAAATGAGGCTGAGACGCTTTGTAACAAATCTCATCTGCACCAGGAAAACAAAAACAACCAAAGGGAAGCACAGCTTTTAGCCTGAATGGCTTTAATAGGCGTGCCTGAGCTGGTAACAGGGCCTGTATAATGGAGAGCAGAGGAGAAGGTGTGGCCCAAAGACATCTGTCCACTAAAGCCATATTGTGTCAACAGCTGCTATAGAGTAAAAAAGACCCAAGGGAAGGAAGTTGAATCATTTAAACATTACAGCAAAGGTGTAACAATATACTCTGTTTGTGCTTTTTTTTTTGTGTGTGTGTGTGTGTGTGGGTGTGTGGGTGTGGGTGTGGGTGTGTGGTTACATGCACCTACTGCAGCTAAAGGCATGTTAACATGACAAGTAAAACACAAAGGTGGCCTACTACTGCCTGAAGCTGACTAAATCCTTTGGCTGCCAGACAAGGAAGACCTTACATTTACTCAGTGAATTCATCCAAATAAGGCTGTGTGTTCACACAGTTCATCCCCTTTTTTAATTAAATGTAATTGGCATTTAACATTTTCATTTCTTTCATCAAATCTGTGAGCACATCATCCATGGTGTTTCCTCGGCACAGCTATTAGAAACGTTTCATCATGCTGGAAATGCCTGTATGGATGTCATGTTTTAATTAGTCCTGAATCAGCTTTTTCAAATGCACTTTATTAAATTATGAGTAATAACAACACAGATATAATCAGATGATTTGGAGATGATAATCCTCCCTTGGCAATGCATAGTGTTCAGTATTGTAAATCTTCAGTAATGGCCTTGATTAGCATTTAAAACTGACATTTTAGCCACGCTAGCAACATGGCTCCACCACTTTGGTCCAGACTAGAATTGCTCAACAGCTATTGGATGCCTTGCCAGCAAAGTTTGTGCAGACATTTTTCATTGAGGATGAAACCCAGTGACCTTGGTTGATCCCTTGACTTTTCCGCTAGCACCACCAACACAGTGAAATATCAACAACTTTTGGATGGATTGTCGTGAAATCTGGCCCTCAGATACCCTCCGGGGGAATTGTAGTAACTATGGTGATCCCTTCACTTTCATCCAGCGTCATCAAGTCAGACATTTTGTCCAATACTTTGTTCCTGATTAAACACCTAAATACTAATAGCCTCATCTGTACTTTGTGTTTATTGCCAGTTAGCAAATGTTAGCATAGTTTTAGCCCAAAGCACTGAAGTACATCCTCTCTGAGCTGCTAGCATGGCTGCAGACGCCTTGTGCGGTTATGTAGCAGTTGATGCACTGATGCCAGATTATCAAGTTTTCTGTCTTCTTGGCTCACAGGTTACCTGCCTTCAAGACTTCTTTGGTGATGACGATGTCTTCATTGCATGTGGACCAGAGAAATTCCGCTACGCCCAGGACGACTTCTCTCTGGATGATAACGGTGAGCGTGACAGCAGTCGTTTCTATTTTACATCATAGTATACAATACATGCTAGCTGTATATTGACTGTACATACAACATTATAATAATCATGCAGCAATATCAACCTAAAGATTAAAAAAAAGACCCTAAGACAGTAAAACAGTATAGCTGTGAAAAGATTACTGAGTCATATAACAAGTGACACCCATAAATGTATCCATATACATTAAGACACACTCCACGGGGCTTTTGCACTGTTTATGTCTGCATTTTGATTTACGTTAGTCAGTTAGTGGAAGGCGTCCAGTGGGATTTATATTTTGCACTTTTGCAATTTGGCTCTTGCTTTTACTGAGTCACTGGAAGTGTAAACTGTAGAGTACATCAAGTGAAATGTATATATTAATGTTATATTATGGTTGTATGTGTCATGAAATATAAATTACTGGTTACAGAGGGTTGGTTTTTACCAATATTGTGGACTTCCTTACTCTGGATTCTTATTGCATGGGTTTACTCAACTAATATAGTGAGACAGACCTGACGATTAGATAATTAGAAAAGGGATTTGAGAAAATAATTAAAGAAGGAAACTTGAGCAATTTAGCAGCATTCTTAACATTCAGTTTAAAATATCATGTTTCTGGTGTACTACCTCTAAAATTTGAATATAGGGACTTTGGGGACCCTTTAGATTTATTATAATGGAGTTCTCTCTAAAATAAGTTATATTCATATACAAAGCTGTGTGTCTGTTTATAGTGAGAAGAAAAATATGTATGTGAGAGGCAGGCAAGTAAAGAGAGGGAGTCAAAGAGAGAAGTCTGTTATCTGCAGCCGGCAGAAGGGATAAGAGAAGGTAGAGAAGAAGAAGAAGAGTCATTAATCTGTCCGGTGACAGGTTTAGGCCACCTGATCCGTTGGTGCTGATACTGCTGAGAAGTCGAGGAGAGAAAATGTACAACCAATTCTCTCACAGACTCCCTCTGCTCCCCACAGGCCTGGAAGCCCTAGTTTTAACAACCCACTTCCACCTAATGTCCCCTCCTCAAAACATTCAGTATCTTTACAAATGTCTTTTAATCTTAACGTTGTGCTGATTTGTCTTTATGTTCCCTTCATCTCTTCTCCTCCCCTCAATTCCTTGTCAAGTCTTGGTAGGACGGAGATGCTGGTTCATTTATAATGATCTGGGTCTTTTCCTTTCAGCATACTCCCCCGATGGAACCAAAGCTAAATTGTTTCATTCAGTCTATAATAGCCTTGGGGCAATACTAAATAGAATGGCTGAGAGTCTCAAGCATCCAGACATCACTGAGTTTGCCTCAGTGGAGTAAAAGAGGAGAGAGCCCTGTCTGTGATACATCACATGGACTTTATATTACAATGCACAGATCACTGTGGATGACTTATGGTCAAATCCTGATGTTTTATAAGGCAGCTGTTGTGTTGAAAACAAAGTGTTTTCAAGGAGTTAAGATGCTATATGTGCAAAAATCAGAGATAACACAATCGTGAAATGTTTCTTCTATACTTCTGTCTGCGCTGGAGATGAACCGAATGTATTTTTCTCTTTTCTTCCTCTCACAGTTGCTTTCAAGTTACTAGTTTGGCAGAATTACTAAAATAGATTCAAATCCCTTGTGGTTATTTTTCACACTTCTTATGCTGAATACAAGAAAATGCAGATGGACACAGACATGTACCTGCAGCTCTGTTTAAGCAGCGACAACATGAGTTGAAGCTGAGAGAGAATCTGTGCAGATACATTGTGGGCTATTTTGAGACCACTGAGTAGACCAGACAAGCTGCCAGTCTGAAGCATTGTCAAAGGCGTGGTGGCACACCTTGCAAACAATAGCACATGAATGTACGTCTGTATCCAGCAGTGTGTGAAGGTTAAGAAAGAGGAGACAGACGTGGTGCGATCCCTGGAGAAGGAGGGAGGACAGATAGTATAATTAGCATCAAAAGTGGAAGAGAGCGGAGGGAGGGGGAGGAAAGAGAGAGCCTGACAGTACAAACAGAGGGGAAGATGCAGAGGGAGGGGTAGCAGTGTCTGGAGTCTGTCTACCCTGATTAATACAGTGACCCAGAATACTGCGTACATCTCTATATGATTTATATAAACCCTCACTGCTATGCATTTACATGAATTCACAAGCAACAGATATTGCTCTTGAATAGTAAACCCAGGAACATAAAGATGGTCATCAAACTATTTACGATTTGGGCTGAGAATTGTTTACATTATTTAATACCATTGCCAATAAGATACCTTTCTTTCCGTACTGACACCAAGATTATATATTTTTAAATGGCTTACTTGTGTAAGTAAGTAATGATGTTTCTACAAACTACCTTTTTCATTTAACAAAAGAAGCAAAAAGCCAGTGTAAAATTGGCTAAATTTTGTTGTGAATAAGGTAATATCTGATATATCTGGTAATAAACACAAATATGAATCTGCCCAGAAATCCAATGCCACCTTTTGACACTTGACAGTGTTCGTTGCTCAGTGCCACGGATACATTTGTCCGTATTGAAGTCTGACTTACAATAATGTTGCTCAGTGAACTGAAATCTAGAGCCCTTCAACCTGCTGCTGATTGTCATGTTTCAGCAGATTTAACACAAACCAAAGTGCATCAATTAAATCCATTCTAGTCGTCACATCTGTGCATGATTATAACAGCCTGTGTGAGTTTCTTGTTAGAAGAGACATGGTGATATTCTGCAGGAAACAAACCCTATCCATGTTGTATTTTATGCTTTTCTACTTTATTCCTGCTCATTTTAATCTCCCTGTCATGCTCATGCTGCAGACACAAACAAAGCTGGGTGTGTTTCCATGCATTGTTTGTTGTCAGAACCCAAAATATTAGTTATTTAATTATTAGTTATTACAAGGAGTGCGGTCTAGACTTGCTCTATTTGGAAAGTGTCCTGAGATAATTTCTGTTGTGATTTGGCGCTATACAAATTGAATCAGGCACTTTCTGAATTTGTCGTTCAGAAAAAAATATTTTGTTTGCAAACGTAGCTCAGGATCACAGCGGCTACCTCGCTGCTTCTCAAGACTACATATGTTCTTAAGCACTGAGTTGTGAATATATATATATATGTTTATGTGTGTGTATATGTATGTATGTATGTGTGTGTATATAATATATAATAAATATATATATATATATATATATATATATATTGTGTATATATATATATATATATAGTGTGTGTGTGTGTGTGTGTATATTAATTTTACATGATAAGGATAGCACCAGTGTGAGAATTATTTGAAAGGTCAGTTATAATCCAAATTGCAACAAAAGACCAAACATATATTTTATAGAGATGCACAAACTAAATTAATAAAAAGCTAAAATGCTAAATTCTGGGCCGACACCGATGTTTGAAATAACAATTTGGCCAATAGCCAATGTCATTGTTTTTTTGTTGTTGTTATTTATTCATCCTTTTGTGCCAGGGGAAACAATGGAAATCTACAAAGATAAGCATCTCTGCCTTGTTACAGCTCAGTCTATTTCTCTTCTCATCCAACATGTGAGACGCAGAGAACAGCCGCTCAGTGCCGGAAAATGGAGATGATTATTACTCCATTATCCAACATCATAAATTGGTGAATGCCACCACGATCGGTCGATGTCAGTCAACAAGGCGAATATCAACCAATACCAATGTTCAGCCGATAAATCGGTGCATCCCTAATATTTGCACTTACTCCTAGTGTTATGTAGCCGTGTGGTATCTAGGTATTTCAGTTTGGGGATAGTGATGATTTCTTTGTGCTTCTTTCCACAGAATGCAGGGTGATGAAGGGACCCAAAGCTCAACGTGGTGTAAAGAGTCCCGGCCCGATCAAGCGCAGCAAGTCTCCTGCCGAGTCGAGTGAGCCCATTATTATCTCACCTCCACTGTAACACTTCCTGTTTTAAAGTAAAGCAGAAACTCTCACCCTGTTCTGTAAATCAAAACAAAGAGCTGGTGGAAAATAAAACCAGGCCGTTTCCAAGTACAACATGAAATATGTCAGCAGAGTGATATAGTGATCAGCTCTTGGGTTTGTGTTGCAAAACCTTGACCTTTGATCTTACTTTGAAGGGAATGATGAGCATAAATATGGATTTCTCCTTTTAGGATCAATAGTGTATCATAGATGATTGCTAAAAATACCATCAAGCTAGCTTTCAACAACAATACTACATGTTTTTTTTTTTGGTGGGGGGGGTTATGTTCAACTGTAATTTACATTTTGGTGTCGGAATTTCAAGGCAGAAAATGAGTTAAAATCGTGATTCCTCTGTGTTTTCTGGTTATGCTTCGAGAGTTGGAGTCAGACTGTTTTTACTTAGGCCGACGACATCAGCTCCTTAATCTCACTACAACGCCTCATAAAGACCCTCTAACACTTGAGAATGGGGACAGTAAAAGTCCAGCCTTTGTTTATTGTACTAAATCTTTGTTTAGTATAATAAACCAGCCTTGGTTGTTTTGTTTTTTTTATACTAAATCTGATGAGATTTAATGTTGCTAATGCAGATTCCTATTAAAAGTCATGAATAAAACATGAAAAGTAAACAAAGACGGCATAAACAGCTCTCAGCTGTTTGTTTGACAATCAGGCATTTTAACATTTAATAATATCCAGGAGGCAATGGAACATAATAGAGACACTGGTGCCTGCTCATGTTTAAATCTTTTATGTTAACAACACTGGAAAACAGTGCTATACCTCTTTGTTTCAATGCTATCTGAGTTTATGTAGCTGCACCGTTAGCTGGCTGAACAGTTGGTGTCATGAAATCTGATCAGGTGCAGGCATGTGAAGAAAAAGCTTGCTTCCTCACAATCTGTGAACACTGGAAAAGCAAAACTCATCCAAATAAGTTTCAGTTCTTTTCTCATGCCTCACATAACTGGGTTAAATTACGCAACTGTTAGATTTTGTGTTTTGTAACACTGTATTAGGTCTCCTACTGGTTATTGTTGTATACCACGATGACACACCCACATACTGTGGAGGTTTTGGTATGTGTTCTTAAATCCTGTTAAAGTATGAGCAAGTGACAGTGTGTCTCCAAAAGTGGAAAGACAGAGCAGGTGAGTTGTTAAATCCCCTGTAGGATAACTGCAGAGAGTTGATGCTCTCAGAGCTGGCAGTGTGGCAGCAGGAGGTAGTCCGCAGTTCGTGTTTCTGTACTTTACGCCATCGGTGGGCGGGTGTTGGTGTCTCCAGCCCTCCGGGTTAACTCAGTCCTTCAGCGGTCTTGAATATTTTATTGATCAGTAACGGGGGATGCCTGGCCTTTATGACAGCAGATGGTTGGCCAGCATGCTGGGAAGGCAGTAAACTGTTGAGCATTAGCCATCTCTGTAATACTTGAGAGGTCAACAGGGTGATAATGTGGTCGTGGCAGAGTTTAAGAACGTATGTGACTTGCCTATGTTAACTGGGATTAGTGCATGTAAATCATGTTGATGAGAGTTTTCAGTTTTCTTATGAGTGTGTGTGTGAGGTTGAAATAAATATTTTGGGATCTTTATATCTTATCTCTTTTTATACTAAAATATATGTCTAAGCAGCACTTTCTAGAGCTCCTGGCATTAAAAAAACCCAACTTGTATTAGGGTGCACTGGGTTTGGCACAGTCCTGAGACAAAAGCCCACAATGAATCACAGTTATCTCTAGTTCAGTGTAGTGAACTGAACTGAAGGGCCAAACCTGGACAGTGTGGAAAATTTTGCTGTACACAGAGAAAGGCTGTCTCTAAATAAAACAGCTGCTCACTCCGTTCAGTATGTGGGATAGCTGCTCATGTTTAGGAATACTAGCTTTAAGATTCCAAGATAATACAACTTGTGATGTTGTCCTTTAAAGTGTTCAAACAGCTTGTTAAGTCCACATTTGTAGGTCTGTGTATCTGGCTGAGTGGTTAAATGAAGCCAGTGGCATTAAGTTGGTTAACAATGAAGCTTTATCCGCGTTGTGTTTTCAACACTCAATGGCTCAAATTTACACTGGCCATCTGGCTTATAGTCTTCAGAATCCTTTTCATCTCTTATAGACAAAAAACTCTTTTAAAGCACTTAACACACACAACTACATCACATCGCACCACTCTCAGATATAAACACAATGTTCCACACAGAGGGAAGCCTAGCAACGTGGCAGGACGCAGAGTGAGTGAATAAAATGTCATCTAACAAACAGAGAGCTTGTCAGCCACCTAGACCTGGACTAACAGCGTCCCTCTACGCTGCGGCCAAATGAGGCCACAGTTCAGGAATGACTTTTCTCCAGAGCCAAGGATTTCTCTTTGGTTCAGGCCTCTCTTGCACACTTTCTAATCCGCACTACTGTTTACCTCTTTTTCTCCTGTTTCCCTCCTCTTCCCTCCCTCTTTCCCTCTCCTCTGCTCTGTGGGCTCTCTTAGCCAACGGGACAGGCTCCAGCAGCCAGCTCTCCACCCCGATTTCCAAGCATTCCCCCACCTCCACCCCCAACAGTCCAGGGCTCAACAACAAGCAGAAGGTACCCCGGACATCTCTCCCTCTCCTGGCCTGTCATCTTTTTGCCCTTTTTTGTCTCTAAATGCATCATTTCCCCGCTCCTAACTGTCACCTAACCCCTCTCTTTGTTTGCAGGATCTCTACCTGCCCTTATCTCTGGATGATGATGATTCTCTCGGCGAATCGATGTAGACTCTCCTCCTGGAGCCTGCCTCCTTTATGGCCTGAAACACAGAAGTTTTTATACCTCTGCTGCTTTCCACCTTCACTCACAGTGCCACCTGTTGTCTAGGAGAACTACTCTTTGTGTCTTTTTAAGGCCTTAGCCACCGGGGCTATGACACCATTTGCTGCTTGAGAATAACACAAAACACCACTTTTTTTAAAAATCTGTTTCAGCTCACTAATGTTCAGACATACGTTTCTATGTGGAGGTTAGCAACTATTTCTCAAAAGGGCACACATTTCACTAATCAGCAGATTTCACGGTGTAAAAATTTCACTTTGGCCTCAAAACATTTTGTTAAAGGATGCACTAAATATTTCAGTCACTGAATTCCAAGCAGCAAATGGATATTCTTAGGGGTGTTAGTCAAAGCTGACTCAACTTTTGTATCACTTGTATTCGTGACGTTCCTCCATGTCCTCCTGTCCTTCTGCCCTATGGTTAAAGGTGTGAAAGGTAATGGTTCCTTGTCAGAGGAAATCTGCTAAGCCAGATAAAGTCCTTCTAACCCGCTGTAAATACTGTCTATAGCTATCCATCGTAACATCTCTGCCCAATGTCCATTGCTGTGCTTCCATAACTTCACTACAACGTCTGTCTAACATTTGCTCAACATGATACAGGGTATGGTCAAAGTAAAAGAAGAACCAAAATATAAAGTCCCACCACAGAGGGTGAGGATGTGTGGGATCCAGCTCCTGACTGAAGAGGATTATCGGTCAGAAGCGAACGCCTCCTCAATGAGAATTCATGTTCCCAGTGGAACATATGAGAGATTATAAAACCGCAACCACAGAGGCCTCAAAATCCTGATGTTGGCAATAATTGGCTTTCATCTTGTCTGATCAGGGACAAGGAAATAACAATGTAAGAAGAAAGCATCCCACAGAGCCCTCAGTGAATTCTTTATGTTGGTGTTTCCTCTACTTTGACCCTCTACATAGACCGTAGGCTATACATGGTATATACCCTCTGTGTTTTAGATTTTCACAAACTGCAGTGCATGATATTGATGAATGATTATGAAACTTTGGGCATGTAGAAAGCTGATTTGAAGGACCTAATGGTGCATAAAAACAACCAAAGGAAAAAAATAAAAAATTAATTAGGCCCCTTTTTCAACATAAAAAAGAAGCCAATGCACATTCAGTTTACAGTTGTTGTTTTTTATTGACTATGTCTAAATAATTCCCTTTTAGGCCAGTTTACATCACCACAACTAACGGGGACATTTTATCGTATAATTGTGAAATTCAAAGATAAATAAATAACGGTGTCAAAGCCAAAGTATGATTTTAGACCAAGAATTATAAAAAGGGGAAAATATGTAACTTTATCAGTTTAAAACTCTGGAGGAAAACTCACCTGGAGATTTATGCATGTTACTTTTAATGCATCAGAATAACATCAAGATTAAACCATGCTCATCTGAGGCAATTAGAGTTTTATCAGGGCGCTAAACAGTAGTGGTATTTCACTTATTTTGCATGGCTCAGCATAGTTCTCAGATACAGGGGAGATGAAAACAGTTGTCTAAATCTATGTGTGGGTTTTAAATTTTTATAAAGTTTATTAATTTATATCAAGGGTACTGGTCTAGTTTTTTTTAATTTTTCTTCTAGTTTTAACCTGCTCACATGAGCTCTAAACACTAGTACTTTTTTCAAGCCTCTGTGTGCAACTTTTTATGGCCATACTTTCTCTATTGTCACGACTCGCATCGCGTGTCTTACAAATCTACTGAAGAGTTTTCACAGATTTCTGCAGGGAATCAAGTTTGAGAATCACTAATTGGACAACACTGAAGCACAAAGCAGGGAGCTACTTATCCATCACAGCAACAGACACTTTACTGTCTACTTGCCAGCATTGCAATGCGTGACCACAATTAATATCTCAATATATTGAAAAGAAAAATGCTGCACCTGTAGCATCCTTTAGATTAACATCTATGCATTCGGATTCAAGAATAGTTAAAACAATATTTTCTGTAGGAATGGCCTTTTTATACCTAATAGCTTAATAAGAAATGAACTAAAAACTGAAGTTTCCATGCAGTTATTCCATTGTGATGATGTGACGGTCTGAAAGTTGTATGTTTTAGGAGTGATCCGGTGCCCGCCCTCTGGATTAGCTTTGAATAGCTGTTATCATCAGCCCCTAATGCTCAAGACAAACCATCATCAAACCTATCTGGTGCTGTGAACTACACCTTTCTCCTGCAGGGAGTGCTGTCACACCAGCACAATAGCTAATAATATCAGCTAATCCAACAGCAGGGACACACTCACTTTACCCACCATTTTGTACAAAAAACTCCCATTTGTTGTCATTTTTCTCAAACTATTGGTTCTGTATAACCTTACATGCTAATAATATTCCTGTTTCCTGGATTTTTCTACAGCTTATTACAGTGCTACAGCATATAAAACATAAAATGTTGGTTGTCTTGTGTTAACCGGCCCGCCACCATGTAAGATGGATGGTGTGAATTCATCACCTACAGTGGTGCCTTTTTTTAGATTACTGTCTTTTGATAAAAAAAAAATGAAATGGGACATCAAAGGCTTGTTCTTTGTTAACAGCTGTTTGTAAAACATTTTTAAACGTCTTGAATGAGGAGGCCTCCCAACACACTTTGTTTTGTAGAGTTACAGGACACTTTATCATGGTGTAAATACGCTCCCTTCCTGAGCTCTTTCATATGTATGCCTTTCTGATCGAATGAATGACTTTTCTTTCTTGGAAATTTACAGTGTCCTTTTTAGTGGTATTTTGCAATGTCACAGTGGCTTGTTTCAGTGCTTCATTCAATGTATTAACCGGTATCCTTTTGCAATTAAAACAGTTGTATTTCACTTCTCTTGTCTCTGAGTTTATTACAGTGCCACCCACCTAAAGATTGTTTTCTTTTCTCATCTTCACAGATCTTCAACAGAGTCTCGTTGTTTGTATCAAATCACTGCAACAGTGCTTTGCACATCATTTTTTTCCCCATTCGCTGATAAATCTATAATTCAGAATGTTTCAGTCAAACTAAAAAAAAGAGTTGTGTATGCAACCCTGATGGCCAATGTTGAATGTGCGTTAAGAATCTATTGAGAGATGTATAAATAGATAAAAGATTTGTGAGTTAAAAATAGTATTGTCTTCATGTGTAGATCACTACATAACCATCTTCATCACCATGGGAACAGGAAATCTATCTCACATTTTTAGTGGTTGTCAAACAATGGTTGAACTATAAACTATAAACATTGTCAGTTTATTAATTTTCACTTGAGACTGAATGAAAATGTTAAAATAGGTTCCATCATGCTCTTTTGAATTCTAACAAGCAAACTAACTCAAATGCATTTTTTTAGTTAACTTTTATATGGTATATGGATCAGTGAAACTATATTAACTGCATTGGATCTTAATTTGGGCAGTTTTCCACCATAGTGCTGTAATTATAGTCAACATCACAAATACAGAGGGTAGTTTGTATGTTCATTATTCCTACAGCCACCCAATAATCCCTACATGTATCTAAGACGTAGAATATGAGAGGAATGTTCTTCTATAATAACATACAGAACATTTATGTGGATGCACTGTATCTGCTGTACTGGCAGACATCAGCTCATTGCTGTTGACATTCACATTATTAAATACGTAATACGTAAGACCAGAACTCACATTTGTATTGTTGTTGTGTTATGCTGGAAAAACCCCCCACCTCCCACTGCTATCATATAACACTGGATCTGACATGCTAAAGTTTGAAGACTGAATATGCTGCTCTGGCGGCCTCTACTGCAGGGCTCAAGTATGGACACACAGATGGCATTCTTTTATAAACGCATATAAAGGAACATATTTACCTTAATGGCTGTCCTGCCATCTATTGGCTATGATGTGTGTGTAATGTAATTGGACATTTATTCCTGATGGAAAGCCAACATTTTAATTGCAATAAAACTGACTTCAACTTTTGGATTGGCATCCTGACAAAAAAAATAGATAAAACTAAAATGTTATCAGTCACTATCTCCTACTGTTAATGTACTTTTAAAAGTGTGTAAATGTTTAACACAGGCACTGAGAACTGAATACCTGTCTTTGTTGCCAACCCTTCAGGGTCAGGTAAGGTCATAAGCATCAGCAGCAAAAGGTTTTTTTCTTTCTGTAAATGCCTTTGAAAGTTTCCACAGAAGTAATGTCTGGCCGTTGTCTGGGTTATTATCAGCTCAGATTAACCAAGAAGTCTTAAACTATTCATTTTGTTCTTTCATTCTCTGCTTTCAAACACAGAAATAGTTATTTATTTTAGGTAGAATAAAATATAAAATATCCCTAAAACGTGACAGTTTGTTCTTGAGTTAAACTGTTCAATTAAAGCCAATAATAGAAGAAAAGCCCTGACAAACAGGCGTCGTAGAAATACTTAACCTAGGAATTCATATTTGAGTCCAATCAATATTTGTGAACAATGGTCTAATCTTGGATGTCATTATGATAGAAAATCCTGGGCAGCTCAGTTGACATTGTGGATTATGTGTGCCAGAGAATGTACTCTTATTCCAAATGCTCTGTGCTTTTACAGTCAGCCCACTTTTCATTCCCTGGATCAGTTTCAAATTTCACATCTTGACGACATTGAGGGTCAAGGTTTGGCGCCTCCTGGCTTCGAGAGAAATAGTTTCACACTCACAAATATTGGCTCTACAGATGTTTCTCTTTGACCTGTCCTGTTCATAGTGTCCATTATATATCACAAAAGTGTTTCTCTGGGGTGATGAGGGTTTGCTAGAAACATGACAAGGGAGTAGATCTTATATTGATATATAGTAGCATGGGACAGATCTATGCTGTAGTAGAAAGCTATCAGCTGTTACTTGCAGCATAATGAAAAGTCTAAATCTCTGCTAATAGCCCCAAGAGGCTTTAATGTTCCTTACGTCCCAAAATACTAAAGCAATGGACAGAGTGTACGACATAGTGATACAATAATTGTGCAACTTGTACAGCCTTAGTGGTGGGGTAGAAAATGTTTGTTTTCTGGGTGGCACTAGAGGAAGCACATGAAGTTGAAATCTCTTTTATTTCAGTGCGCTTATAGATTCATGAAATATTTTGTGTATAAGTATACTTTGGTGTAAAGTGAAAAAAAGACGTCTGTGCATTACATTTGTGTGATGATAATGCAAGATTGTGGGCCAATAGACCCAAGCTTCTTGGAATGAAATGACTAAATATGTATGTCAATAAATACATTTTATTACACACATTATGGAATGAATAACCATATAAATAAACAGGTATCAACCAATATACCTGTATAAATGATCTATCATTTTCTCGTCTAACTATGAAATTTCCTGAGAACATATACATTCCCACCAGGGAGATCCTGTGACCCTTTCCATAGTGCCACCATCAGACCACACTTTGGCTGCCCTTTCATAACTATAGCCTGTCATTTACTGAGTGCATTGTTGATTGTGAAAGTGACTGTAGATTATTCGGCCTTATGGTCTGCACTCCTTTTATTGTGCTGTCTTCTTTTTAAATATGTTCTTGTCATCCACTGTGTGACAAGATACTTTTGCTTTCCCCTTCTCAAACATGCATTTTCTTATGAACTCTTGATCATTGCCTTGCATTGATCCTCTCTCCTATCACTGCTAATCCAAATGATTTACTTTCATTTTAGGATTTTCTACAGTTTGTTCTTCATCCTGTCTACTTAGCTCCTGCATGGATTTACCATATTACTGTTGGCTCCCTACAAACATTCTTCACCAGCTTTCTTTTTGCCCTCAGTTTCAAAGCTGGAATTATCCAGACAAGATGTGTCTGTTTGAGGGAGTCAAATTGCTGCTTGTGCTCCTTAAAAGTTAAGACCACTGAGTGCCTGGCAGTTTGCCTTATTACCACAGTTCACTTGCTTGGGGACAGCAAATGTATTTGTGTTTGTTCAATGTAAGTGACCTCTGGCTAACTGCAAGATTTTTATTTTTTATTTTAAAGACCAAATAAAATACAATAAATGATTTAACATAGCTAGATGAAACATCCAGCACATACAGTGAGAGAGGAATTAAATTAAATGGGTGCCTTCTGTTGTTAATTTAAACAACAGATGCTGAACAGGACAAGTTTTTTCTTGTTTTCACCTATGAGCTGCTGAGTGGTGGGAGGTGTTCAGTCTCAGTCTCCCCTTCCCTCATCATGTAGCTTTGCACAACACCTCCTGCTGCAGAGAGGTTCTCGTCAGACCAGTTTTCAGTCAGAGTTATTGTGCAAATGAATGTGTTCGGTGAAACCCTCAAAGCCAGAAACTCAAACTAAAGAAGCTGGATTTGGTTCTGAGAAAGGTGTAACTGCCTGTTGTCAAAAACAGATCTTATAAAGTGGACGTTAAATGTGTTTGAGCTTGTAACTGTAAGGATAAGACAGCCCACTACAGGTGAGTGTTGCTTTCATTTTCTTATACTAAACATTACACTTAGTTTCTTGACATAAGGTTTCATGGTATTAGCTTTATGTAGTTCCTTGTGTTTTCTTTGATTCATTACCAGCACTTCAATACTTTTAAATGAGATAACCTCAGTTCCTTTCTTGCCTCAAACCCTTCCAACCTGTTCTTCTTTACTAAATGACATGTGGCGACTTGTGTTAATAAGTCTAGAGGTAATGTACCACACTCCTCTGTGGGCATTTATTGCTTTATAAAGAGGTTTTCTCAGTACAAATTACTCTTTAAAATGTGAAATATTTAAACATGCCGCCAGCCAGATGATATCTGTTGTCTTATCTGATCTGATGTGTTCATTTTCTTGTTTTGACAGCACTTAAAAAGACTTAATCAATGTCTCTAACATTACAAAAGTCTGGAATAGGAACTGCTCTCACTTTTATTGAAAAGCTCAAACAGAGAATAAGAACAAATACTGTAAACAGACGCTCTCGATGTAAGAAACACACGTTTTACAGTCCTGTATTACACTCATGGTCCACTAAAGAAGAGCAAATAACCGACCAAAAATAACCTGCCTGACCACATTAGCCAGGAACTCTCAAACAGATAACACTCACACACAGCATGAACAGACTCGCAACCCTGCTACCCCCTTACCCACAGAATGATTTATTTTCTCAGTCAAAAAAACATGGTAGCCACATACATCTGAAGAAACTTCATTCCTTCCTAATGTTAAACAACAGGAGGTAATAAAATCAGGAGCAAATACTGCCAGGGTGTGGCTGTAACAATGAATGTGCATAAATAGGCTACTTGTGTGTGGGAGGGCGATACAGGCAGGTACAACACCTGGAGACTTCCTTATTGTGAAGCAGGAAGAAATCCTGCTGCTCTCCGAGAGGTACTATCAGCAGTACCTTCTATCAGAAGTGTCTTCTTCTCTTCATTTGTTTTCTCTTCTGGGGTTTTTATCTCTGGTATTTTTTCAAATTTACATCTAAGACATTACCACCTAATTTCTAGTTGTTGCTGTTGCAGTTCGAGACATTTCATTTCTCTGTGCCAGATCTGGTTCATTTTCTGCCCTCTCTGTACAATATAGAAAAAATTCATGGGTCTTTTTTTGCTGGGGCTTCTTGGGAAGAACTAACTGTCTCTAAGTTCTTGTTGCTTTTTTACAAGTAAATTAAATTAGATTTTGTGACTTTGTGTTGTTGTTGGCAAAAATAAAATATTAAGATTTATCCAAAATGATTATATTGGCGTGTCTTGTCCAAACGCAGCCCTGAGTGGTCAGTGTGAAGGGACCAAAAGATCAAGAGTTAAAATATCATCATCCTCTGGAGAATACAGCTGTGTTGTTCATCACATCCTCTGTTATAAATACAG